TCGGCTCCATCTCAGCAAATTGCCTCTGGTTGCCCAAAGGGAACAACACATGGTGGTCATTCTTGACCCCAAGCTCTCCTGCATCCTTCCCACATGCACCCCGTCGCCCCGGGCAGCATGCTTCCCCATCCACTCCCCTCCGTCTCCACCGGCCGCGCCCAAATTCAGAGCCCAACAGCCGCTTGCCTGTCCCCATATCTTCCTCCAGCCCCGTTTACATTCCAATAGCTTCTCCTTGCTCTCAGAAATTAAAACGAAACTGTAACCTTGGCCTACAAGCCCCAGCAAGCACCGCCTGGCCCCCAACACCCTCCCCGGCCGCACGCCTCACGCTCCTGTCGTCACAGCGGCCTTCCACCCTCAGGTCTCTTTGCCTCGGCTGCGTCTTTCGTCCTTCGTCTGGCTAATGCCTTCTTACCCTTCCGGTCTCAGCATAAATACCTGTTCCTCAAAAAGGACTTGCCTGTGCTCTCTGATCAGCACAGTCACTCAGAGCCCCCCGCCGGCTGCCTGATCATGGCTGTCAAGTAACTGTGACTCATAGCCTCTTGTTCCCCGCCACCCCACCCCCAGCGTGTCAGCTGTGCCAGGTCACAGACAACATCCACCTTGTTCACCGCCGCTTTCCCAAGGTCTAGCATCGTGTCAAACACAACATAACCAACAATGGAGTGTTTGTTGAATGAAATCTAGTGGAAAGACAGAGCTAGAGTGTAAATTTGCCCGTGGGGTCTGCCTCTGAACACTTCACCTGTATTTTCTGCCTTAAACTAAACTTGTATCAGATGAAACAGAGTTGGGCTCTCCTGATGGATTGATCCTCCAAGTGGCCAGTTTCCTGGAGGTGGCAATCCGCAAAATTGTTAGCAACGACATCTCCTGTCTCCCTCTTTGTAACACCTCAGTTATTAGTGTATCTCCCACAGAGACTAAAGAACATACAGCTTAAAAGTTTGTCCCTTTAGCTATTTCTGCTTGAATCACCCCTATTCCTGCAGGGACGCTGAGATCTTACTAGTGTCACTCATATGCCTTCTAAACTGCCTTGCCGAAGAATCAGCTCCTTCACTGCTTTGCATGAGGACGTCCTCACCGCTCCCTGGACTTTGATCAAAGGCTTCCTTCTCAGCGAGCCCTTCCCTGGCTTTTGATCTAAAACTTCCACTGCCTTCCTCCCCCGACCCGAGACATTTAAATCTCCCTTTCCTGTTTTTTCTCCTTAGAACATACTGCTACCCTATACCATATTTCACTTAGCTTGTTTTATGTCTCTATAACCAGAATGAAGCTCCTTGAGGGAAAGAATTTTTGTTTTATTCAGTTTATCCTCAGCCTGACATCTAATAGGCCCTCATATATGAGTTGATTGAATGAGCAAACAACCTAATACTGCTCAGGACCAGCAAAAATACATCCAGGAAAACAGAGGCAGAGTCTGTATTTAGTTTCCTTCATTCTCCGTGCCTGCTTTTTCTCCACGCTCCAAAACTGATTGGATGCTCCTACCTAGAGAGGGACTGGAAACACTGAACTATGTCATGGCTTCACTTTCCACGAGGACAGGAGGTGACTCCCTGCTGCAGCTCTGCTGCCCAGCAGTGAGCTTGACATGTAGGAACAGTCAGCTCTGTCACCCTCCCCCGGCTCCTGCGTCTCCCTCAAGGTGGCGGCTACTCAAGGTGCCTACTGTAGTTCTTGCCGTCACATCTGCATTCCAGCCCCCGTGAAAAGGAGCAAGGGCATGCCTGTGCGTTTCTTCGGTGCATTAGGCCAAAACAGCCCGCATTCAAATCCTAGCGGTCAGACCTTGGTGACACGGCCATGCTGAGCTGAGAGAGGCTGGGGATATGGTAGGCAGCCAGCCAGAGGGGCTCTGTGATTGAGAAAGGGGACAATGGGTATCGGTGAATCTCCAGCAGCTCATTAAACGGACGATAAAGGGAAAGCACCGAACTTTCCAGATGGTCCCCTGTGCAGCCTCGCTACAGAGAGCCACCCTGTACCTGCAGTCCTCGTCACCGTCACTGCTGCCACAACCGAGTACACAAATCCAACCCACGGAAGTTTACGCAAAGAAAGGCAACTGAGGGGTGTTTATTACCGATCGATCTTAACTAATGGTGGGATAGCCCAACCCCTCTGTGCTCTTCAGCAAAATTGTTTAGGCTGAAGCACAAATATACCTGGGTCACCATGCTATGTCTCAAGGGCACTACGTGTGGTGTCCCCACCCCGGAATGCCTGTCCTTCACTCACAGCATTTAGGGAGAGTGGTAATGGGATCTAAGTTGGGGTATGAAAATCAAACTACCAAGCTCTTAACACTGCCATCCCTGTAAGCTGGATAATACAAATTACATTTTTGAGGGTTATTTTCTCTTGTCAAATACATCAAAGACATTATGTCCTTTCTCTGGGTAAATATTAGTAACGTATTTTGTTAGGGTCTCTAAGCAGTAAGTCCAGGAAACTGATAACTTTAGGACAAAGGTCCAAAAGTTCAGAGGTGAGAGGAGTCTACGGCCATAAAGTCCTGAACGCACCTGATCTCGCCTGGTCGTGGAGCTACGCAGGGTCGGGCCTGGTTAGCATTTGGATGGGAGAATGTGGCAGGTGTTCTAATTTCCTGAGTTTCCCCTTCCTTCTCTTATGAGGCATGTAATCAAGATCTAATAGTTATAGTGTTGAGCTAGAATCCATTCAATAAAGAATTCTCATTACACGATTTCGAAGTCTAGTATTCTCATTCCTTCAGCAAATACTGGAGTGCTTACAAAGCATCAAGCACTGTTCTAGCAGCAGGAGAACAGGTCTGGTCTCCTAGAGCTCAAATTCCCATGAGATTAGGCAGTCCATCAACAGCGTAAAAAAACATAACATGTATGATGCTAGATGGCAGTGAATGTTGTGAAGAATGAAAAACTTTTTTTTCCTTCTTCTTTCTCCTTAATGTCCAGTGTTTTTCCAAAGGCTTCTTTTTGAAAGCCTTCCTAGATTGATTCCAATTGGCTCTTTTTGGTCACTTCAGTTACTTCATTAAAAGATTTGGATAGATAGGCTTTATAGTATACGTTTTGGAAAGGTCTGCCATTCAACCTATATGTTAGAGGGATACACACATACAGGTGTTGTGGTTAGCTAGTTTGTAGTTTTCTGTACTATTAAAATCTCCATGTGCATCTCAGGTAAAAAATATTTAAAATGAAATAATGGGTGAGGTTTGTATCGGGTGGAGAAAGAGGTAGAACGTAAGACAAAGAGCATAAGGAAGCTTTCAAGTCCACCCCCACACTTCAGGAAACTGCCTCAGCAAGCGCCTCGCAGGAATGACGCGCACGTCCGCGGCACAGAACACGGGTAGCGGAAGAGCGTCGGCCAGCAACCCGGACCCCTCTCCCCGCTCCTGCCCGCACGCTTTAAGATGGAGACAGGTGAGGAAGCTGCCAACCACTCTCCTGTCTTCCCTATAGTCTCATTCCCCTTTCTTTAAAATACAACCACAAAAAGTGATCTAGATCAGAGGAACAGAGGGTGCCCCCCCCAAAAGTCAATTTACTAGAGATAGCCTTATAAACTCAGGAACCAAAACAAAAAAATACCCACAGCAAAATGTTAAATAGGGGGGAGTTTTAAAACTCCTTCCTTCTTTGGACCACATATACTACAGAGCTCTGAAAAAGTACTTTTTGCAAGTTTGCCCGAGCCTGCTGACACTGACAAACGTTCATACAAAATGACCGGCACCATAGCTGCTGTCGTGTGAAACAGCTTCTTCGGCCATCGAGTCTCATGTAGAACTAGAGCGCAGGCCACACTTGATGCCCTCATGACCAGACTACTGGGCTACAGCAGTTTGAAAACTAATTATCTTAAATCTGAGAGAAGCCCAACACCTCTCACTGTTCACTAAAATCTTTTGCCAGAAGAAATGTTCTTAAAAATACACTTCTGAAACAGCGAGTGAAGTCATTACTAAATACCTTACTAAATGCTTTATTCTTGAAATAAAAGGGCCTGAGGAGGAACTGATCTGAAGAAATGGATTCCTTTGATGAAGTGTTTCTCTACAGAGAATAAGAGCTTTTCTATTTATTTAGGTTAAAATATTTAGTTTGGGCTTTTCTACTTTTCTGGGAGGAGCACGTGGACTTTCACCGCTCCTTCCTAAGTAGAACAAGTTTGCACCTCTAGTATATATACCATAGACATGGGAACAGTGGGCACTTGGTGGCGATGATCACACTAATCTGAGATTTAAAAAATTTTAAAGGAAAAAATGAAAAACAAAGCTAATTCACAAAGTGGATAATCAAGGTCGAGAAGCATCAGAAATAATTCCTCTGAATCAAAGAAGTAAAAGAAATGCAACAGATGATAATAAGAATATGAGCTCTTACATGCCAGGCACTGTTCTTAGTACTTTATTTGTATTATTTGATATAATCTTCCCCAAATCCTATGAGGTAGGTAACCTTTTACTCTGTAGATCAGGAAACTGAGGCACAGAGAGGTGACAGACAAAGCCAAGGGCACAGAGCTAAAGCCAGCCACGAAGCCCAGAAACACACGCAGGGCGCAGCCCCGGGCTGCCCAGCGAAGGGCCGCTCGAGCTCCCAGTCAGTGCCAAGGCCTCACATGTGCAGACGGAGCTAGAGGAGGGAAATTAGTAGCTAAACTAAAAAAAACCCCAGACTCTAGGTCCAAAGTATTCTTCAAAACAAAACAAAACTAGCAAAGAAAAACACATCAACTCTCTTCCAAACCGATGGGAAAAATATTGATCATTCTGACCGAACCTCATGCTGGGTGGAAAGACGCGGTATTTCCATTTTCTATCACTACTGCCCGTGCACGATGCTGCCGCCGGTCACAGTGCTGGTGCTTCTTCCCTTTTACAACCCACTCAATGAAGCAAGTTAAGTCAAAACAAAGCAAAAAAAAAAAAAAAAAGAAAGAAAGAAAGAAAAAAAAAAAGAAACCCACACACACATTAGGCAGGTTTTGAGGTTTATTAAAATAAAGTATTAGCAAACAATATGCAAAAACAAAGTTCTTAAGAGTTATGGCTTTGAAAAGCACAATATAGTAAAACCTAATACATTTTTATAAGTATCAAAAAGATAACAGAATGGAAGCATGTGCTAGAATTTTACTTTCTACAACATAAACAGAAGCAGAACAAGTACAAATAAGAAGCAGGCCTACAGTGCAGCCATTGGTTTGGTCTTTATCATCTGCATATGAGACATCTTTTTAAGAGAACAGGGGCAGGTACATACACACCAGTTTTCATTACAATCGTATCCAATTTTAAAGTAAGTGATTTTCAAAATGCAAATTAACCAACAGGGTCACAAAGAAAACCACTTGCCCAACTATTATCTTCCAGAGTCCCTACAGTTAAAATACTTTATGAATGAATCAAAGCAACATCATCTGTAATGGAAAATATGACTCTAAAAGATTTCTTCTTTTACAAAGACCTAGCTTGTCTGGCCTCACCGGAGTTTGGTGGTAGCTAATACCGGCTAGTATTAAGGCACTACACCTAATAATGGGGAAAAATCCACCTGTACAGAAAATTCTGAACTTCTTAAAAACAGCATCTTCCAATAAAACCTTACAGGGCAATAGTATAATGATTTTAAGACCTTTAAGAACAGAACTATTGAGACAAGAGCCACGCGAACCTTTCTCGCTCTGCCCAGGATGACTCCTGGCATCTGGAGAAGACTCCTGCTGTGACCGCATCTTTTCAGCAAGATGGCTCATCGCTGCTTTTACAGTAATTGCAATGAGCTTTTACCTTTAAAAATTTTAATATGTGAAATCCCTCTCGTGGGTTTTTGTGAACCATCCAATTTGCAGGTAATACTTCAATTATTACATAGTTGCATTTTAGATGACAAGTTTCTATTATGAAAAATCCAATGTAACAAAGACGTGATAAATCCTGTTACCTCTTGTAGTCAGGACATGCTGAACCTGAACTGCAACCCAGTGAATTCCAAAGAGCTGCCCAACTTTCTGTGCAGTGGGAAAAATTGTTTATGTGGAAGCAATGCCTGGAACACTTCACTTTCCACGCACAGATCTTCTGAGAAGCGAACCTCCCCCAAATCCTACCTGCCATCAATGAGGAAAATGCCACTGTTCTGGGAACAAACAGGCATCAAATCTGAGATCACCCCCCAAAGGCTACCCTAGCTAATATCTGAGGAGACCACCCACAAACCAAGGCTTAGGAAAACTCCCATGAAAATCAGCAAGCACTTCTACGCCAGCAGGCTGCCCGCGGCTGCAGAAGGCCCGTGCAGACGCACATCTACATTCTCACCCCCAGGCTGAGGAGGCTCCGACTGAGAAGGCGAAGAGGGCTCTGACCATCTCAACGGCTAACAGGTCCGAAATCAGTCATCATTGAAAGTTGAATTCAGTTAATTATTCAAAGATCCTTCCTTCTTCAGGGAGCATAAAGGTGATAATATTTTTTTAAGTGGAAAAGCGATAATGATCCAAAGCAATATTAAGCACACAACTAGAAAAAGTATGAAGAAATGGATCTAAACTGGTATGTTAGATGCCCTCTGTAACAGACGCCCAACACCTAAAAAGATGCCATCCAACTTTAGAGTCTCTCTGCTATTGACAGGATGTGATTTTTTGGTGTAAACTTTCTCCTTCAGCAGAATACTACTGCAGGGGAACCGCTTCCCATAGGTACCCTCAAATAAAGAAGGTTTTATAAGGGGAGCCCCAGTTCTTGTCTTGACAATAAGTGCATTTCAGATCTGAATAGTTACTGACCACTTTATATCCTAAAAGGCGGCCTCACACTCCAATGCATAAAGAGTACGTCGCCACACCCTCTTTCTGACTGTTGGGTGCAGCTCACGGAACTGCCCCGCAGTCTTACAGAGGATTTCACCTCGGACTCCCAGCCCATTCTGTGATCAGAGTTTTCTTATATAACAATGACAAAATGTGAAACATTATTCAGATTCTGATGTATATATTTGACATTTTGGTTGATGTCTTCCTTAAATTTTCTCTGAAGAGAAAGCGGCCTCAACAGACCAATAACATGCCTACTGGTTTTCATTTCACAGGTTAAGTCAGGCAATACCAGCCAGACCATAATAAATATGTAGCAATGAGAGACAAATGCACCTCTTACCTTGTTTTTTTCCCCCAATTAACATCTTTTTGTTACTTTAGTTCATTACTGAGATTAATTTTGACCCTATTCTTCTTTTGCATTTACCAAATTGGTTGTAATTTTAACACTTCCAGACTGTCTTTTCAGCTGGCATATGTTACTATATGGTACATGCTATAAAATGTGATTTTAATGGTGTAAATGTTTCATAAACCATTGTAGAGATTAAATAAAACTTCAAACTAATTTTCTGAAGTGGTTTCTTTCAGAGGCAGTTCCTTTTCATTGGTCAGAATTTTACTTAGTTTTTAAAAATCTTACTGGCAATTTGTATTTCCTATCCATTGATACTGGACATCCTCGGGAATCATAGAAGCAGCTAGATTAAGTTTCCACTTAAAATCCAGGGGTGTGGAATTGAGAGCTTTTAGGAAATACAACAGGTTTATACTTCTCCAGGAAACTCTGAACAGTTAATGGCTTAAGTACTGTCGTTCATGAGACACAGTTCCTTAGGAGAAACTTAGAAAAGGCCAATCACATAAAATCCTCCAACCTCTAAAAGCTATAACATGAATAAAAACAGTTTTAATTAACTCACTGACAGTATCAATAAAACAATAGTTTTCCTCAGTTCTGGCCCACTGAAGTTGATTACATGTATCTGTCATTCAGCCTGGGTGGCTTTTCCTACAAGTTGCTCCAAAGTTGTGCCATTAGCCCAGTAAGTTAAAAAAAAAAAAAAAAAAAAAAAAAAAAGGAATAGAAATTGTTCTATCTCTGTCTCTGAGCAGACATCCTCTTTCACATGGCTGACAAAAAGACTGAGAATGTGTGTCATTTAAAACTATGTTTAAGGCTCAGGTGACTGTTGTAAAGTATCCCTTCACCCAGCAAAGGGCTGAGAGTGGAAGCCCATGTGGCAGGCACTTCATCTTAAAGAACTAGAACCATCCATTGGCTGCACTTTGTAAAAGCAATAAATAATGTCACAGAGAACAAAAAGAATCACATTCTCCTTTCCTCAAAAAATGCATTTACTTCCTCATAAACACAGAAAGGGCAAGGCAGTAAGTCAAACCAAACTAACATTTTAAACACAAGACTGACATGGCTCCATATACTTACAAAAGGCACCAGAAAACAAGCTTCTTCTGATAGGTGAGTTAGGTCACTTTTCTCAAAATGATGTCTTTGTTCTCATGCCATAACTAAGGTCTGACTGACTGCTCCCTAGAAGAAGGGGTTACGAGTCTTTCACCCAAGGCCTTTAAGCATGATTGATTAAATGGACATTTTAAGAGTTTTCACGTCTTTTCTTTCTGAGGATTGTGTTCTGGGTGACTAACATCCAGATAGGAGCTAAAAAAGAAAAAGAAAAGAAAAAAAAGCATGCACGGTAACTGACAGAACAGTCTGTATTCTTTGATACATGAACACTTTAAAATCAGCTCTCTCAACGACCACTGTGAACTCACTGAGGTGTCAGCCCAGGAACCCTGTCCTTGGGGCCAGATGGGGAAGGCTCCTGTGGCTACAGGTCCTTGCGTGGGGAGACTGATGCGGTAAGAGCAATGGATTCAGTACATGAGTTTCCAACATTAATAACGTCCATAAAACTGGAATTAAGAAGGCACCTTAAGCTGGAGCTACAAGGAAACAGTATTATAATCTAGGCTGGAAAATACAACAAAAGCTAGAAAAAAGCGTAACTTCCTACAACTGTCATCTATAAATTGCAGTGTTTGTCAATATAAAAAGGGTACAAAGGAAGTAAGGATGAGCATCTAAATCCATGTCCCTTGAGTGTGTTTCACGAAAGGTTACACTAAAAACTGTCACCCATCAAAGTGCAAAGTAAAAGGTTAATGCATGTCAGAACTAGAGTTCCTGCAACACTGGCCGAAAGCAGCAAACACAGCTGAACAAGGCCGCGCATGCGCTGTCACGAGCTATAAAGTAGTGCTTGGGACAGGTTCTGAGTAAGTGACACATACTGGAGATCCGTTGTTGGCAATAATTTTTTTTTTTTAAAAAGGAAATGTTATACAAAAGCTATATCGAGTGAAGTCACAAAACACTGACAAACATTTAGCTGTATTAAATGTAAATTTTATGTCACTTAGAAAACTATCACTTTGCTTTTACCAAACACTACTTGTTAGAGCAGTGCATAGTGTTCCTTCAAAGAGAAGATTTTTTATAGTTTCCTTTAAGTCCCTACCATATACTTTTACAGAACAATGAATTCGACTTTTTAAAAGTTGGTGGGACAAAGAAACTGGAAAAAGTACAGCTTTTTGAGTATCAAGAGTCGAAGGGAAGACTTTTCACTGTATTCCCTCTTATTCTATTATAATTTTTCATCATGTGTTGTTTTACATTTTCAAAAGTAAGTTGAACAAATTTTAAAAAATTGTTGGGACAATAAGGCAAATGTATGTTCCAGTTTAAGATTAATGCCAAACTTTGGAACTGGGGCACAGTAATTTCTCTGCATCTTTCACAACACTTTTGAGAGTTAATCACATGAACATTAATACAAACAAATGTAGATTCATCACAAAATACAAATGTATTGGTCACAATTATGTAGAAAAAAATAAGATGTTTTCCATGTAAGCTCACAGTATCTGTATTGAAAGTTTCCCTAAAATTAAAACAAGTCCACTAATAATATAGTTGAAAAGAATACTTCTGCACTATGAGACAGAAGATATGGGGTTCAGAGGGGAGCCCATCTGAGTGAGGACTTTATCCAGCCACTGAAGAGGCCCATGAAGATGAATCTCAATCCAACATGGGGTGCTGGTGACATCCTGCCGGTGGTACTCTGCTCCCCAGCCCTACGGGAAAAATGAACAGCCATCAGAGTAAACCCCTCTTTAAACTGTGAACCAGCTGAAACCAACTTTAACATACTAACAAAAAGACACTTTAACAGTAGGCGTATGCAGAATGTACTTAAACAAAGATCACAAAACCAATCTCAGCATTCGTCACAGAGTTAAAAGTAACAAAATAGCTGCATTATTGAAAGATATATTAATTTTTAACAATATAGAATTCCTTTATAGAAACCCTTAGAGCAAGCTGTTTCAGATTTGATTTTTTTAAATTTCTTAAAGTAAGTACTTTCTGAAGTGTAATATCTCATAATTTAAAAATTAATATTTCTGTACTGAGATACATTCTTATTTAACGGGATAAATAAAACCTATCAACAGCCTCATATAAGTTCACATCAGATTTTGTTACCAAATTTTTTTTTGTTTCCAGGTTTTTGGTATTTTTTTTAAATATAAGGTACTACAGATATTATCAATGCATGCAAGTGTAATTTAAGTGGCAATCACATACCAATTATCCTTTAAAATAGGAAATTACTGGGATGAATTGAGCTAGAACACTTTATCCTAAAACTCCAGACAAAAGTTAAAGTTTTTTCCATTTTTATTTGCCTGGAGTTATCAACTCTCTGCTTTACTGCTCATAGTTGTCCTGGGCCAGAAAAATTAGGCTGGGGAGGTGGGAGGGTGTAGGGACTGGGTGGGGGCCGGGGGGCCGGGGGGGGGGGCAGGGGATAGGGCAGCGATGGGGGAGAAAAGGTTAAATACGCAAAAGTCGTGTTTCTGTAGGAGGGAGGGAACTACCGCCTTCAGGGCCCCTGATAAACGGATGCTAGTGGCAAACCAGTACCGACGCAGCACAGGAGCACCGGGCCCTGGGACTGACGCCAAGAAGAGTGCCCGCACGGAGCGCTTGGCGGCTGCTCTTCTTGGGCTAAATCCCTAAGGACTGAGTGGCTGTAGTACAGGTTGCTTAAATATATCACTGAAATTCTTCCCAAATTTTGCTCATGAACCATCATCTTTGGAATGCCAATAAAATGTGGCCAAGAGTAAATGATAATTTTGAAAAGTTCTTTAAACTTTGCAAAGCCTCAATAACAGACCTTATATACGTGGAAAATAATTTTAGTATACTAAAGAATCCTTGAAGTCACTCTAATAATGGGATCTAAAGATAATTGAAACTGCTAAAGCTAAGGAACTAAAATAAATTTTAGCATTAAATGCTCTCTAGCAATGTAGTATTTACCTTAAATTCTTTATCAACTCAGCCTCTATTCACCATTAAAACCAGTATCATGCATTTTATAATGTCTGGTTTATAAAATAAAATCTTAGACCTATCATGTGGTAAAAGTTATAGAGTCAAGAATTTCATTTAAAAACCTATTAAATCAGGTTAAAAGTAATTACCACCTTTCATTTAATAATGGTTCTTTAAAATTATATCCTACAGACATGTAATACACATATTTACAGTGACTCAAGTCAAGCTACAGGTCACAGCCTACTTACCTTGACAAAACTCATTCGAATTGTACACATTTTGGTGAGCTCATATACTGCCTCAAACCCATGGTTGACAGACTGAGCCAGAAGCTGCGCAAACTCCTGATTGTTGAAAATTTTGAGACTGCAGCTGCTGGGAATCTTACAGACGGTGGTAGGATGAAAGCCATGATGAAAGTTGCAGTTCCTGCTCTGCACAAATATGCTGCTGTCACTGAGACACTCGGCGTACACCTCTCCGCCAACGTAGTACAGATGGACACCTTAGGAGGACAGGCATTACCAGAGTCAACAAAGCAGCATAATGAAACCAAAGAGGCTGTATGAGGTGCAACCAAGGACAGCCACTCATCGCAGCCAACTCCCCACAGTCTAGATAGAAGGTACCACTAGGTGGCCTTACGCTGCCAAAGATAAAAAGAAATTAATGCCTATCTAAATCCAAAATTGTCCTCATGTAACTAAGACTTAAGACTCAGGTTCGCAACATATTAGGTTCTAAGTTCAGAGGGTTTTTCCCTTCTTTCAACAATCATGTATCATCTCTATGACAGAAAGCAATGGCAAAAAAAAAAAAAGTGCCTTATGATGAGTCCTTTCAAAAGAATGCTTGGCTTATCAAGTATCATAGTCACTTGGCAAAGAATTCTGTACTCCTTTTGCCAATGGAGGGAAGAACATTAAAGAAACCCTAAGGCACACATGTAAATTCAGGTCACAAAAGGAGCCTTTAAACTGCAGATTTATTTTACTTTCCTTTAAAAAATGTTTTTGGTATTTAAAATATATATACATAACTATGAATGCAGTTCCAATATTAAAATTCAAATTATACATCTAAAGCTGAAGTTGTTCTCAACCTTCTACTACTGCCAACAGTGCAAGAAGACCGTCCCTGGACACACAGACCTCTGCACACATGTGAGTCACAGACTTGTATGAGGCTATGGCATTACAATCTTTTTTTCTGAGCAAATAAAAATGACTCATAGAAGGGTCCTAAAACTATACATACTGATTCTAGAAGTCAAGAATTCACCAAGTAGATTTCTCTTGAAATATTCTGCTGTAGTAAGAACATCAATGTATAGGAGTGAGACACTTTGCTCAAACTGGATTTCCTACCTATAACCCTTCTCCTCCAACATAATGGAAATTCCTACATGTCACTTTAACCTAAAATACTCCATAAATATCATAATTATAAAATTCTCACCCTTCAACAGCATTCAAATGTTCCACAAATATTTGTTGTGTATTTACTATGAATCAGGCAGTTCTAGCTGCTGAAGATATTCTAAACAAGGCAATTTTCTGTAAAGTTCATATTCCAGTCAGAAAAATATTTAAAAAATAAACATAGGTAATATGCTTTCAGATCCTAAGTACTATGAAAAAATGTAAGCAGAGTAAGGAAAAGAGGACTGATGATGCCTTTACATCAGCACCTGCAAGGGGAGGGCAGAGGCTGCGCCCTAAGCTCTGTGCGCTCCAGCACCTCACCCAGCGGATGGCACACGGCAAACACAGCGAAGGCTGCATTCAAGCAAATGTGCGGAAATGACAAAATTACCTTTTCCAATATGTCGCCTCGTGTTTTCAATTGTCGAGTTACGATTAACGTTTGACAACAACCCCAAGCAGAATCTACTTTTGTTATTGGAAGGGTCTGTGAATCCATCTACTAACACACTAGTAGAAGATGCATGAAAAGCTTCCCCAACACGATTATTTAATTCATAGTAAACAATTGAACACCAATGTTTGGGCTCTTCATAGGCAACAGGCTGAACATCTGTGAACAAACCAAACAGAGAATACGTTTAATGAATCATTATCAGAAACTCCAGATTCTTTATGGTTTCCCTTTAACCCACCCCAGTACTACATGAAAAAAACATACTCGGATATTTCACTTAGTCTCACTGTCCTGCCTAGCTTTGAGTCTGTATCCAAAACACAAACTCCAAAATGCTGTGAATCTGATGATTTTAAAAATTATACAAGTATAGGCAACATCACATTCTAAATTGTTTTTCTAGAAAAATCTAATCCAGGTTTAATGTTTGAGATGACAAACCTGTTTCAGTATCCTAAAACACTAAACTATACTGAGTACCTATAAAATTATACTGAACAAAAATCTAAACTAAAAAACTAAGTGAGACTCTCAGCAATAGACCCTGTAGAATAGAGGGGAAGTTTTTCGACTTGATAAAGAACATTTACAAAAAACCCAACATACTTAATAGAAAACCTAGGAGACCCCCTGCTACGGCCAGCAGTGACAAGGCAAGGGCGTCCTCACCCTCCGCTTCAACACTCCACTGGAAGTCCTGGCTAATGCACCAAGACAAGGAACGGACACAAAATGTATATGGGTTGGGAGAGAAGAAATAAAATTGTCTTTTTCCACAAATGACATGAGTGTCTACATAGAAAACCTGAAATGATTGACAGAAACAAATGAACAAACCCTCCTGGAATTAATAAGCAATTACAGCAAGGTCGCAGGATGCAAGGTTAATATACAACAGTCAAATCACTTTCCTATACACCAGCAACAAACATGTGAATTTGACATTAAAAACTTATTACCATTCACATTAGCATTCAAAAATGAAATACTTAGGTAAAAATCAAACAAAAATAGGTACAAGATCTTTGAAAAAACCTATAATACTCTAATGAAAGAAATCGAAGAACTAAGTAAGTGGCTATTCCATATTGATAAACATGAAGCTTCAATATTATCAAGATGCCAGTTCTTCCCAACATGATCTACTGATTCAATGCAATCCCAACAAAAATCTCAGGAAATCATTTTGTGGATATCAACAAATTGATTCTAAAGTTTATATGGAAAGGCAAAATACCCAGAATAGCAAACAAAATACTGAATAACAAAATCAGAAAACTGACACTACTCAACTTAAAGACTTACTATAAAGCTATAGCAATCAAGACTGTGTAGTACTGACAAAAGAATAAACAAACAGATCAAAAGAACAGAAGAGAAAACCCAGAAATAGACCTAATAAATTAACTCATTTTTAATGAAAGGGCAAGGGCAATAATGGAGAATAGTCTTTTCAGCAAATGATACAAGAACAACTGACATTCACATGCAAAAAAATTCATCTAAACCCAGACCATACACCCTTCACCAAAATTACCTCAAAATGGATCAAAGACCTAAATGTAAAAAGCAAACTATAAGGCTTCTAGAAGATAACATAGGAGAAAATCTAGATGACCATGAACAAGGTGATGAATTTTTAGATATAACACCAAGGAATGATCCATGAAAACAACACTCAAGCTGGACTCAATTAAAAACTAAAAACTTCTGCTATGCAAAAGAGAATGTCGAGGGAGTAAGACAAGCCAAGACTGGGAGAAAATATTTGCAAAACACATATTTGATAAAGAACTGTTATCCAAAATATGCAAAGAAGTCTTAAAACTCAACAATGAACAACCCCATTAAAAAATGGGTCAAAAACATAAACAGACACCTCCCTGAAGAAGATACACACAGGGCAAATAAGCATAAAAAGATGCCCCAAGATTTCCAGCTAAGATGGTGGCACAGCTCACCTCTTAGCACAACTACATCAAAATTACAACTAAAACATAGAACCACCATCACTCAGAACCATCAGAAACTGAGTTGAATGGAAGTCTCATAACTATGGAATTAAAGAAACCACATCCATCCAGACTGGCAGGAGGGGCACAGACGCAGAGCGGGCCAGGCCCACATTCACTGAGGGAGGGTGTCTCAGGAGCGAGGAGTCCCAGCCCCACATCATGCCCCCTTGCCCAGGGTTCCAGTGCCAGGAAGATAACTCCCCACAACTCTGGCTGTCAAAACCAGCAGGGATTGGATTGAGTCAGTGGAAGAAATTTCTAGAGTCCCAAGCAATTCCCATTAAAGAACCCACACGCAGGCTCAGGCTCACTCCCTCTGAGCTCCAGCACCAGGGTAGTGGCTTAAAAGGCACTGGTGGCCTATGGGGAGAAAGTGAAGTGTCTGGCATCAAGGCAAGAGCTGGGGGACAGTGTTCTCCCAGACAGAAAAGTGGGCCATTGTCCCTTTTCAGAACCCTCCCCCGACAGGGCCAGGAGGCTGGTGCCACATCTGAGACTCTATCACCCGGCTAAAACTGTTTGCCCCACCCTGGAGATCCCCAGAGACTCCATCCCACCCAACTTCTGGGCCCACGCAAACTTCTTTTCCATATGAATGGCTGATCTTGGCTCATGTTTTGTAACTTCCTAAATCCTCTCAAACAAGCAACAGCCAGCCTCAGTGAATCCCCAACCTCTCATACCTCTTGCTAAGGGACCCCCAGGCCTGGGACTAGCAGCAGCCAGCCTCAATTCACAGTTTGGCTTCACCTGGGAATCTCCAATCCTAAAACAAGTAGCAGCCATCTCAGATTGCTTTATAGCTCATGCAGGGTGGCCCCTGGCAAAACAGGTCGGGGCTGACCTTGGCCTGCACCGCCAGGGAATCCCGAGAGCCAGCGTGCCCAGTGGACAGCTACAGACCACGTCAGAGCACCACCACACTGCCCTGCACAGCTGATTCTCCATGGAGGATGGAGATTGGAGGTTAGTGATCACAGCCAGTCCTTGCAGCTGACTGGCCTGAGTAAACCCCTCCCACTTACCTGTTAACAATAATCAAGCCATAACTCCAAGAGGAGGTGCACTCAGCCCACATGAAGGGCACACCTCAAATACCCGGCTTGGGTGTTAGGGGAGGCTGTGCCACTGGACCCTACGGGGCACCTAGTACATTTGCGGCGCTAGAAAGACAGGGAGTCATAGCAGCTCTACCTAATACACAGAGACAAACACAGAGAGGCTGCCAAAAGAGGAGACAAGAAACATGGCCCAAATGAAGGAACAGATCAAAACTCCAGGAAAAGAGCTAAACAAAATGGAGAGAAGCAATCCATCAGATGGAGAGTTCAAAACACTGGTTTTAAGGATGCTCAAGGAACTTAGTGAGAACTAATAAAAAACAGCAAAGTCAGAAACGAAGGGTCCACTAACTGACATAAAGAACAATTTAAAGGGGAACAACAGTAGAGTGGATGAAGCCAAGAATCAAATCAGTGATTTGGAACGTGAGGAACCAAAAAACAACCAATCAAGAACAAGAAGGAGAAAAAAGAATCCAAAAACACGAGGATAGTGTAAGCAGACTCTGGGACAACTTGGCAAGCGATCCAATCACAGGGATGCCAGGAGAAAAGAGCAAGATACTGGAAATCTATTTGAAAAAATAAGGAAAGAACACTTCCCTAATTTGGTGAAGGAAATAGACATCCAAGTCCAGGAAGCACAGGGAGCCCCAGTACAAACTGGGTGCAAAGAAGTTCACTCCAGGATATATCATAATTAACATGCCAAAGGTTAAAGATAAAAAGAGAATCTTAAAAACAGCAAGAGAAAAAGCAGATAATTACCTACAAAGGAGTTCCCAGAAGACTATCAGCTGATTTCTCAAAAGAAACTTGGCAGGCTAGAAAGGATTGGCAAGAATATTCAAAGTCATGAAAAGCAGTGTATAATGCTCACCCTTTTGCCCAAATTTCTGAAGGAAAAATAAAGATGCGCATTATACATGAGTAGTACTAATTCCGTCTCTATATAAATGTATTTAATTCCTTTTTTTATGCTTACGCATTAAAAGTGTAACTCTAGAAAGCAATAACAATATCCACGTGCAAAATGATCCCCTGGAATATGATAATTGGTTTTTTCCCTAAATATAAATAAATAAAAATAGAATTAAAAAATTAAAACAAAATATCTTTTTCCTGAAAGTTTGAGCCAAAAACATGGGTGCACACTATACATGCAAACACACTGTACACAGCAAAATACGTATATACAAGATTGCTCTACCTGGCAAAGACATCGTTTAGAACTGAAGGGCAGATAAAGAGCTTCTCGGGTAAGAAAAAACTATACAAGCTCATCATCACCAAACCATTATTATATAAAATGTTAAAGGGACTTATTTAAGAAAAAAAGAAGATTAAAACGAAGAACAATAAAACGGCAACAAATATATATATCTATCAACAATTGTCTAAAAAACAAACTAAGCAAACAAGGAGAACATCATGGATACAGAGAACATCTGACGGTTGCCAGATGGGAGGGGGGAAGGGGGGGAGGGGGGAAACGGGTGAAGAGGTGAGGGGATGAAGGGGCACAAACAGGGAGTTACAGAATAGCCGTGGGCATGTAAAGTGCAGTCTAGGAAACGGAGGAGCAAAGAACCTACACAAGCCCCATGGACATGGACAATGGTGTGGGGGCTGCCTGAGGGAGTGGAGAGTGCTGGGTGGAGGGGGGCAAAAGGGGAAAATTGGGACTGTAAAAGCATAATCAATAAAATATAATTTAAAAACAGAGATGATGAACATTATATGTTATCAAAAGAATGCAAATTAAAATACCACTGCCACTCATTATAATGGCCAAAATCCAAAACACTGACAACACCAAATGCTGGTGAGGATGTGGAGCAAGATGAACTCTTATTCACTGCTGCTGGGAATGTACAACTGTAAGACAGTTTGAAGGCTTCTTACGAAACTAAACATGTTTTTAGCACACAATGCAGCAAATATGTTTCTTGGTATTTTGTGTGAAAATTACGTTCATTCAAAAACCTGCACAATGTTTGCAGCAGTTTTTTTTACTATCACCAAAACTTGGAAACAACCAACATGTCCTTCAGTAGGTCAATGAATAAATAAACTATGG